TATTATTATAGCAATTGATTATCTTATAAAATAGTCTGAAATTAAAGTAATTCCAGACAAGAAAGCTATTATAATTACAAAATTTATCTTTAAAAAAATAATTTATAGATATAAATATCCTAAAGAAATTCAATCAAATAATAGATTAGAATTTGTCAATAAAATAGTTAAAGAATTATCAATAAAATTTGGAATCAAATATAAATTTTCTTTATTTTATCATCCACAAATTAATAGAATAATAGAATACTTTAATAGAATACTATGTATAATATTATAAAAATTAACAATAGCACATAAACAAGAATGAGATATCTTTATTTTTGTTATTCTTTTTACTTATTGAACTAATTAAAATTTAATAACAAAGTATGAACTATTTTTCTTAACTTATAGATAAAATGCTAAATTGTTAATTGAATTAAAAATTCCTATTTATTTAGAAGAAGAAAAATTAATATAATGAATATATTATATAGTAAATTAGTTACCTTAATAAATATTAGAAGTAAAATAAAATATAGAAAAATGATAATTACAATATTCTTAAATATATAATGACAAAATTCAAAATAAAATAATATTTGAAATTGAAAATAAAGTATTAATATTTAATATGAAATAGTACTTAATAATTAGAAATAAATTTTAATCTAATTAAAGTAAAGAATAGTATTATATTTATAACTATTCTAGATATAACTCTTACAAACTTCATAATCAGAATAGAAATATTTTAAGTATTTTATTAATAAAAAATAACTTAAATATTATTATAATCATCAAGATTACTTTGAATTACAAATTATTATTGAGTAACTCATATAGATTACTTCTTAATTTTTATTACTCTTATATTCAAAATTATCTTCTATCTTATTTTTATCTATTTTTATATCTATTTTTCTCTAATAATTTTTAATATCTTATTATTTATAATAGATCTTTAGTTCAAAATTTATATAAATATTTTTCTATTTCTCTTATCTTTTTCTTTATTCTTTCATATTTTTACTTTTACTTATTATTTTTATTTTTATTATCTTATATTTTTTTAAATTCTTTTATATTTTTGTCTTTATTATTTTTATCATATTTCAATTGTTCTACTTGGATTACCTCTCAAATAATTAAATCTCTCAAAGAAATCTATCAGGAAATACTTGCTTAATAACTCTTTGAAATGATTATCTTTTCAATCTTTAGACTACTTACTTGTGATAATATAGGATAGAAAACTCATATTTTATTATTAAATCTATTTATATAATCTGAATTCACTAAAGATATTAAAACTGATAATATTTTTTTCTTAGATTTTCAAATAATTATTGAAATATCTAAAGTATCTGTTAAATCAGTTAATATAACCATTGACTTGGATTTTAATTGATTAAATATCTTTATTATTACTTTATCAAAAGATAAATTCAAAGTTAATATTAATAAAGAGAATAATATAAAAGAATTAGAATTTATAAGTTCTAATAGTTCAACTATATCTGAAGAAAAATCTGAATCATTTATATTTATATTAGAAGAAGTTAAATCTATCTTGAAAAAAAAACTAGCTAGTCAAACTTAAAGAAGTCATATTATTAATTTATAATAATCTGCTAGATAATAATAATCAAGTAATGACTTAATATTATAAGCTTGAATAAGTACTTTCAGTTCAATCATATAAATATTTAAGAAATATATCAGAACTTAAAAAGAGTATTAAAGATACTCTTAAAAAATATATGTATAATAGATCATATAATATTATTCAGAAAGTCTTTTTTATTTACAAATCTGAAGAAAAATTATTTAATAATCAATTTGAGTTTATACTAATCAAGTTATATTACTTAAATAAGAAAGAACTATTAAAAATTATTAATTAATTTTTGTAAAAGCAAAAATTTTCTGAAGAAGAATTATATATTATTATAGTGATATAAAATTCCTTAATTCTATAATTTTTTTTATTATATAAAATTATATTTTTCTATAATTTTCATTTATTTTATAAATATTTCTATTTTTATATTATATATTTATTTTTATTATTATATTTATTATCAAGTTTCTATTTTTAAATACTATATTTTATATTTATTCAAGGTCTATATTTTTGAATTATTTATAATATGATATTCATATATATAGTAGAATAGTATAGTAGAAGATTATTTTAATTTTGATAAAATAGTTATTTAATTAATCAAAATATTATTTTTAATATAAAATATTTAAGATATTCTATATATTATTAAATTATATTATATTTCTTCTACTTAATATATAATTTATATTTATAAACTATATCAAGTATTATCTAAAAATATTAAATATAATTTTTTATTTTAATATATATTAAGATATTATTTAAATATAAATTTAGCTTTAAAAAATAGCTTAATTTTATAAAACTATTTATAAGCCTATTAATTTTGAATAAAGCATAATAATTTTTGATAATAATTTTATTTAAGTTTTTATAGTTAATATACAAATAATATAGATATTTTAAATAGTAAATACTAAATAAATAAAATTTTTTGAAATAAAATTAGCTAATTATTTCTTGAGCTTATTTATTTTTATCTTTATAAAAGATAATTTATATTAATTTAAATAGTAATTTAAAACTAGATATGAAATCAATTTTATAATTAATAAACTTTTTAATAATAATTTATTAAGTTTTCAAGAAATATATTCTTATATTTTTTCTTAATTTTTAAGACTTTGGATACTAGTAATTTTTCTTGTTCTTTTTTTATCTTTAATATTATTAAAATATATTATAAAGAGTTCTATATTTACTAATAAGTTTGTGATTTATTATTTTAAAATATAAATTAAATTATAGTTAAATCTTAATTTATTTTATTATCAACTTGAACTTTAATAATTTTTGATTAATAAATAAAGATAATAATATTAGTTCTTTAATTTATAATAAGATTAATATAAAATAATTAAGATTTATTTAGAATTAAATTATATTTTTATAATTTTAAAATTTGAATATTTATCTTATATATATAATAGATATTTAATTTCAATTTATTAATTCTTATTATAATAGTAATTATAAACTTTTTTTATTTGTAAGTTTAATTATAATAGAATTTATCTTCTATATTTTTACTTTATTTTTCTATATAAAGCTTTATTTCTAAAGTTTTTAAATACTTTATTATCAAGTAATATTTAAACTGATTTGTTATTAACTTATTTGTTAAATTTTAATAATCTTTTATAATTATCTTTTAGATATATAAATTTTATTTTTTTTATTCTAATATAAAAATTCTTCTTAAAAATCTTTTATATTATAATTTTAATCTTTGATTAAGAGAAATAGTTCTTTATAAAGTGATCAAACTTTTCATAATTATAGTATATATCTTTAGATTTATTATTTTTCTAATATTTTTCTTCTTATATTATTTCTAGTTCTATATATATAGAACTATTATTTTAATAACTTCTGCTTGATTAATATGAATAATAATTATTATTATATTTACTTTGAAAATCTAAGAGTCTACATAGTAATATCAAAATAAATAGCTAATTTTAGATATTTTTTAAAGTTTTTAATACTTAATAATTAACTTTTATCTTTGTGATAAATTTAAGATCTTCTATAAAGTATATAACTTGGGTTAAATTATTTATATCTATAATCTGGCCAATTATATTTCTGAATTTTATATTATAATTTTGTATAAATTAAGTTTAGAAAAAAATATAATTAATAATAAAGATATTATTAATATTATAATAATTAAAAGGTTTTTTTAAGTGTAATAATAAAGTCTTTTTATTAATTATATAATATATTATTATTTGTATTCTTTTTTTAATTTATTGAATTATGGTTCATTATTCTCTGAAAATATGAATTAAGTTAATTAATTATATTTAACTCACATATATTTTAATTATTAATTATTATTAATTTATTCATGTTTTGTATTATTTCATTTTCTATAAATATACCACTTCTGTTCTATAATTTAACTTTAGATCTGAATACTATTTAAAAAATAAAATCATAAGTTTTATAAATTAAAACTATTCATATCACATTTTATCTTTTTTACAATAATCTTACACTTATTTGGAAATGATAATTCTTCAAAAATTCAGTGATGGCGCAGTATTTGATGCAACTAAGCTGTTTGCACCATAGCATGAAAACATAACAATTTGTTTTTTAAATTTATATTTATCCTTCATGAAGTTTCAGATAAAAAATTATTTAAATGCAATGTCATATTTGTAAAAATTATAAAATAGGAAAATATTAAGAATATGACAAATAAAATAATTTAAATAGATAATAGAAAATTCACAACTCAAGATAATCAATACATTAGGCAAAATAAAAATTGGTTTGATTAATAACTTATTAGGAATGAAGAGATTTTGACATCAGAATTTTTATTAATTATATTGATATAAACAGTTAAAGGAAAAATTAATAATAAAGAACAAGATGAAAGGATTAAATAAAAATAAACAGAACAACAAAATAAATGTTTACATAATTTACATTAATTTACGCAAGTGTTTTAAATGGGTCTGGTACGAAATCCCGAACGTTCATAAACTCGAAAGATCGAAATCCCGAATGAACGGCATCCCTAAAGATCGAAATTCCGAATGCGCGAAATCCCGAAATCGTGATGATTTTGGCACTCATGCATTTTGGGATACATGTACCATACTATACTATATTTTAAGGATTTCGATTTTTCGGGATTCCGTTCATTTGGGATTTCGTTCGTTCAATCATTCGGAAGGCTGTCATTGGGGATTTCGTTCTTGCGGGATGTCGTTATTTCGGGATGTCGTTCAGTCGGGGATTTCGATCTTTCGGACTTATATTTAAAACCGTAATTGTCGAAATCCCGAAAGTTCATAAGTATAAATCTGTAATAATGCGTTAATCTTATGTTATATATCATTAAGAAAAGTTTATAAAAATATGATTATAGGAAAAGTTATTAAAAAAAATCATCGAAAAGCGACCACATGTGAAGGTATTATTATTATTATTATTATCGCCGTACCAATTTAATGCTATGTCAGTACAAAGAGATTAAGTTAGAAATTGAAATGGTTCGAGCATATGCATGATGGGGTGCTGCCCAAAATCCCTAAAGCAAAAATTCTGACGTCCAAAATCCCGAAATACTAAAATCCCGAGCACTCAGACATCCGAGCGCTTAACATACTGAATGCTAAAATCCAGAGATTCACAAAATCCTGACATATCCAATATTCTGACATTTCCAATATCCCGACATTCCTAAATAGTAATATAAAGGTATGTATGTATCTATGGAAGAATGAGGGTAATGTAAAGCTAGAAAAATTTCCCCTTTACTATCGTTACTATAGTTGTAATTATTATTTATTACACGCGCCCTTATACATTCCGTACCAATTTTTTATTACATAATTTTGAGTGTGTTGTCAGGACTTTAGTATTCGGCTTTGGGATGTTGGGAGTCGTGATTTTTGGCGTCGGGATGTTGGGAAGTCGGGGATTTTGGACGTTCGGGGTTTTAGGATAGATCCATGATGTGATGTAATAATCATAGAAGGGATGGTTGTCAAAACGATGTAAAGTCATGGCGGATATGGTTGAAGGTATTGAATAGTTTTAGTATTAGCTACATAACGATAGGATCCACCCCAACATCCCGACACCCATCTCTCCGACACCTCAACATCCTGACACCCATCTTCCCGACAATCCAACATCCCGACAACCTAACTTCCTGACAATCCAACTTCCCGAAATCTAGCATCCCGACATACCTAACTTCCCGACAATCTTCCCGACAATCCAATTTCCCGAGACATTTAACTTTCCGACAACTTCCCAACAAACTAGTCTTCATTTAAAATGTAAAATGAGTTTAGATTGTCGGGATGTTAGATTTCGGGAAGTCGGATTGTCGGGATGTTGGGTTGTTGGGGAGGTTGGAATTTCGGGAAGATGGGTTGTTGTGATGTTGGACGACACCCATAACGATAATAGGTGAGGTTTGAAATGGCATTATTTCAATGCAATAGTGATTGAAAGTGTGTGAACATTCTATTGCTAACGCTAAACTTTCCATATCATTAATATCCTCAAATACGGAAAGAGAATAGTTTGACATTAAGAAAAGACATTGTAATATATAGTCGCTGTTGATTAGGTACTTTAGTCCAGAAAAGGCGTCGTAATAGTTGATTGTTGTTTGAATTTAATTAAAAGTGACTAGAAAAAGCAGTTGTTTAGTATTAGAATATCGTTTGGTTACCATAATTCCTAATTCCCACCCCAAAATCATCTTACCTAGTCCCAATTTCCCAATTCCCACGAAAACTCGAAATATTCCCTTTCGTTAACGCACGTCTCAAACGATATCAGCAATTGACTTTAACTACATATTACTAGTCTAATTCCATCTCTCCTACCTCATGTAAGTCAAAAAAATCAACGTAACGTATTCAAACAAATTTGGTAACAATACTACAAGGTAAGGAATTTCATTGCTCAGATGGTATGGGACAATAGGAATAATTCTTACTAATTAGGAATATAATATTAATATGCCGGCATGTATTTATCTTTTTCTGCATGTAACGTACATTTGGTAGACAAAAGTCTGGAATCGGAAATGATTGATATACAATCATTTCCGATTCCAGACTTTTGTCTACCAAGTGTACATCTGTCTGTATAATATCGATATCCTTTTTTTAACATGTTTACCTTTTTCTTGGTCTAACAGCAATAACCATTGTTTTGTTCATCTTTTTTTCTGCATGTAATATTTTTCTCACATGCTTATCTTTCTATAAAAAAGAACAAATATTACATACATGTAATTATAAAGGAGGAGTAAAACAATGTTTATTGCTGCTAGATGCAGAAAAAGGTATGCAGAAAAGAAGATGAAAAAAATGTAAATTGCTGTTAGATTCAGAAAAAGGTAAACTTGTTAAAAAGATATTACACAGACTACGAAATAATATTGCCGTTGCTTGCAGAAAATGATAAATAAACATGTTAAAAAGTTATTAAAACAGGCAATACTTTACGAAATCATATTACCGTTGCATGTATGTAGAAAGAGACTAAATAAAGAAATTACAGACTTTATCAAAATTACACAGACAGATGAAAGAACTTTATCTTATACAGTAATAGTAACGGTAATAGCACTGTATAATATTAAGATACATGAAGGATAACATTTTGATATCGATTGTTCAATAATGTTGTATTTATCGATTCTAATAGTATGGCTGGGTTCACGACGTACACAATACACTCACCTCTATAAAAAGCGCGAAGTTTACCTCGTAACTATTGAATTAATGCTTGATAAAAGAATATTCTCTTCTCAATTTACCTTTTCACAAATTATACCATTTTTTAAAATGTCTCCCAACGTCGTTCGTGCTAACTACGACTACTTGGACTGTAATGAATTGTTATTTTTAAGTCAACACCCTTACCAGTTAATTCTTTCTATTGAAGAATTAACTAAACCAACTATAAAAAGACGCCGTGATCCTGAGCAACCACCACGACCGCAAAATAGCTGGATAATTTTTCGAAGAGATTATGAAGCGCGTTTAGTTCATTCAATCAACACGTTAAACAAAAAGTCAAAGAAACAGCAAAGGAGTGCAGCTTAAAGTGGCAAACACTATCAAGCGAAGACAAGTACTTCTTCAAAATATTAGGGAAAATAGCTCACGAGAATCATAAACGCTTATTTCCTAATTATAGGTATAGGCCAAGAAATGCAAAAGATTTAAACGTTAAGAGATGGGCCTTTCGCGAACATACATTTACTTCGGTATCCATGTCTAGCTCGGCGAATAATATTTCACTTCACCAAGAAGCTGCACAAAGCGTTAGGTTGTCCTCTTTAAACGATATCTCAACAACATCTGAATACAGTCATACTGTCATTACCACTTCAACTTATCCTTTCATGATAAATATTAACAATGAAGCCGAAAATTTGGTCGCCGACATGTTCAATGAGATAACTTCGTGGGATCAATTTCCTTTTGCATCTGAAAATGATGAGGAAATTAACGTTAACATTAATAGTAATGCTTATTACATGTATCATGATTATGGCTCAATTAGTCTTACCATCAAACCAATTCATCACTAATAAACCAACACCATTGCTATCTCTGTTAATATCAATTTCAAAGATTTAGATATTTGAAAATTCAAACCTCAATATATAAGATATTAACTTAATATATCAATCAATATAAATTTCCTCAACAACGATTAATTAATTATTCGAAATTTATTCATTATTCGTATTTTAGTTTTATGTTCTTTCTTCATGTATATAATTTTGCTCTCGTTTCTTTCATCTCAATTTATTAATTCGTTTGGTCTGTTCTTATTGGCTTATTGTGTCAATTTTTATTTAGCTCAGTTCTTTAAACTTGTATATTTATCTAATATAGCTTTATCAACATTTCTGCATTCTTTCGAAAGTCTGTAATTTATGTTTTAGAATTAACCACTTTTATCTCCAAAATTACCAGTTACAAATAATTCATCTAAATCTGCATAATTCAATGCAAATTAAATGAAAGTTTTTTAATTTGAGCTAATTGTTTTGTTTTCTAATAAATCGAGTTTTTCAAAAAATAATAATCAAAGCTAGCCTTTTAGTTTCTCACTTTAATGAGCAAAAAACAGGCACGTGCATTGATCAGATTATTCGATACGTATTCATTGTGGGAAAAATTATTTAAATAGTAGCGATAAAAATTATAGTGCATGACCTGCATTACAGAGACTTGAAGCACTTAAATCTTATCGTACTCAACAAATTATCTTTTTGTCAAATAGTATTTTGGCAGCGCATAGAAGAGCAAAGAAAAATCTTGCTAGTATTGATGAAGTACTATTGCATTAGACATCATCCCATTTCATCCAGAGTCAATTGAAATATGCGTATTAAGAAGAGAACTGTAGTTTTTCAATTTATATTATATATTATAATTAAGTGTAATCGCTGGCAATTTTCTTATCGAGATATAATCAATATTACGAGCATCCACACTTGTCCAATTATATAAAATATATCAATTTCTCACGTATCTTCCAATAACATGTATTGATACTATATTTTTCAGAGCATGGTAAAACTATATCATTATCAATATCATCACCATCATGTTATCGTTTCAAAAATAACTAATGATAGATATGTTTGTAATCAACATACTTTCATCAATATTTGTGAAGTTAACTTGTTATCTTAATGCATGGTAATCAGAATTATAAAGTTTTCGTGATTTATATTTTTTTGTGTGCATAGATTGCATAGCTATTCATACATAATCAACAATAAAAAACATATATATAGAGAGAGATGAAAAACATAAATCAAATCAAAGTCTTATAATTTGACTATTAATTAAATTTAATGCATTTTTTGATAGCTCATATCATATTTGCTCTGAGCCATATATTGGTATTATATAAGCATATACATGTATTTTCTATTTAGCCCATATTATGTTGATTTTGGTTACATAGCAGCACAAAAATACCCATCACTTATCTAAAATACAAGGAGATTTATTATCTATTACATCAGACAAAACCAACCAAACAAAAGTGAAGATGTGAATGACTAAGCCTAGTAGTAAGCAGTATCAAAAAAAATAAAAATTACAGGTAAATCAATAACCTATTTTTTGTTGAGACTACAGAATTGTCCAGTTCTAATTCATCACCTATATGCTTGTAGTGGTAGTTTATAGTGAATGACTACTACGCAACTAAATAATCAGTTCAGCTTTGTACAGACCTTATTATTCTTTCTCTTTGCCATGCTTTCTCCTCTATCATTGTATATAGTATTTTCATTTTTTATACTTTTTCTTCTCGTCTCTTTACATTAGTATGTTACCTTTTTATTTTTCATTTAATTTTTCAATTAAATAATTAATTAAATAGCTACCAAAACAGCTTCTTATATACTTATTAACATATATTAATTCTCTTTATATTATTTTCAAAATAGCTAGACTTTATATTATTCTTCAGTATTAGAAAGTATAGAATTCAACTAACTTATTATACTAATTACATGCCTATTTCAACTTTAAAATAACTATATTTCTATAATGTCTGGTATGATCTCTCAGACAGATTGTCCATCTATCTTTGGATAGCAGTACCACCAGAAATTTGCTATTCAGTAATAGCAGTAGCAGCAGTAATATCAGTAGCTACAACCTTAGCAATAGTAATCCATAAACATGTCTATAGTTTATATTTCATTTATTGTTAGATTCCAGGTCAAAAATAATAATAATAATGAAACAGCAAGTAAATAATAACAATCTTTGGTCAATAATCATCATAATTCCTCAAGCACTTTGAAGTTGGCTGAGTTTACTTTGAATATGGTTTATCAAATGTGGAATTTTAAAAGACTTTTTTCTATCTTGACTAGTTAATATGATGCTCTATCTGCATTGAATTCTAATAATATCTCACCAACTACGAGTTCTCAGCTCAAAAATTTCTGTAATCATGCACATCACTTTATTAAATAGCAAGATTATTGTCATCAAATATTAGTGAAAAATGGAACCATATTTATTGGGAATAAGGGTCAGAATATCATTTATTCACTATTGCATTGATTTGATTAATAAGTTTCTTGATGATAATATATTTATAAACTAAATTTGATTAGAAGTGACAAATATTAGTATCAAGAAACTTAATATTATGGTGTGGGAATTTCTCAATAATTTGGATTTCAAATTATTCATGAGTAATACAGAATACAAGTACTGGTTACAATATCTTAATGAGTATATGCAGAGACAGCAGCAACAGTTGCTAATAATGATTTGAGCAATAGATCAACATCTCACTTGCAACATATCAAAAGATATAGCATGCCAACCTAGAGATAGGAATTGATTCTCTAGAATTGATTAATTTAGAATTGATTCTGAGAATTGATTAATTTTATAAAATTGATTAAATTGATTCTCAAAATTGATTAAAATTTGAGAATTGATTAAAATTCAAGAATTGATTAAAATTTTAATCAATTAAAATTTGAGAATTGATTAATATTTTTTAATCAATTCTTAAATTTTAATTGATTCTTAAATTTTAATCAATTCTTAAATTTTAATTGATTAATTATGCAAAAATAGTATAATAAAATTATTAAAAAGAATAAACTAATGAGAAAATCTTCTTGTAAAAAATATGGCAAATGTTACAACTCACTCTTACACATGATAACCTACTTTATTATTTAGCAATAATATTAATAATACTCTAGTTTTTAATGATAATCAAGAAACTATTTCCAATACAGAGTTTAATGACTCTAATAGTAATAATAATATCAATATTGATCCAAACTTGAATAATATTTACAAAATAACAGAAAATAATGAAACAGATGATAATACTTCAATCATTTCTTTGCCACCTAGTATCTCTACAAATTCAACTAATCAAAGTATAACTTTAACAAATCAAAGTATAACTTCAACTATTTCAACAAAAAGAAAACATAAACTGAAAACTAAATCAAGAACCAGTTATGTATGGAATCACTTTAAACAAATAGCTCTTAATACTACTGTTTGTCAAGTACCAGAATGTGAAAAAACATTTACTTATTACAAAATCACTTCTACTATGAAATCACATCTCTCAAGTATTTATTATATTACAAAAACTGTTGTTAAAAAACAACAAAACTCTATATTATTCATGACTCAGATATTGCTATCAAAAATTATAAGTGATATAATAAAAGTATCTTATAGTGCCAAATAACAAAAGAAATTTAATCAATATTTAGTAAAATTTATTGTGAGAACTGTTCAACCTCTCTAGTTGATTGAAGCTCCTGATTTTCTTAACTTTTGTAAAAAATTAGATTCCAAATATAAAGTTTCAGTTATAAAAATATTAAAAGATGAAATTGATTTCACATATTACTATACTTATAATAAAGTAAAAGAAGAAATTAACAACAATGCTGAATATATTATACTTACTTTGGATTTCTGGAGTTCTAAAGCACACCTGCCTTATATAGAAGTTACTTATCATTAGTTGTCATTTAATTTTGAATACAAAGAAATTCTTTTAACTATTGAAGAGTTACCATATCCATATAAAGCTTCTTAAATAGTAGAATATATGAAAAACTTACTTAATATATGGAATTTAGAGTTTAAAGTCTTATCTATTACAACTAATAATGCTGCTAATATGAAAAAAGCAATTAGAGATCTCAGAGTTGAAACTCATATTTCTTGTGCAGCTCATACATTACAACTTAGTATTATTAAAGGATTAGATAAAATAAAAGATATTATAGAAAAATGCAAAAATCTTATTAAATTTTTGGCAGGGGATAAAAAAAGACAACAACTTAAAGAGGCACAATTATATCTTCAACAACAATATTCTTAATCATTATTTTATACTAGTAATAACATATTTCAACAAAATATTTCAGAAGATATCAATATTCAACAAGATAAAACACCAATTTTAGATGTTATTAAGGCAAATAATACATGATGAAATTCAACATTTTATGCTTTTAAAAGATTATTAGTTTTAAAACAAGTAATTATTATATTAAAAAACACTTTATTTGAAGATAACAAAATTAATATTCGAAAAGAAGGTGTTATATTACAGTCATTAATTTTAACCAGTCTTAAATAGCATACAATTGAAAAACTTATACCACTTCTTGAAGCTTTTGAACAAGCAACTCGTTTGATAAGTGATTCTAAGTTTGCTACTCTTGGAATAATGTATCCAGTTATGATTGGATTACTGAATAGATTAATAAATGACTTTTCTAATCTTGATGATCAAATAGCCAATAATCTTAAAGATGTTATTCAAAATGATATGAAGTCCAAATGGAAATTATCTCATGAGCTGGAAATATATGGTTTATTCTTTGATCCATGATTTAAAGATTTGAGTTTTATTTCAGAGGTAATTATTTTTATAATATATTCACTTTCAAATATAATATCTTGTAATATTATCATTTGATTTGTCTAATTAAGTTGAATTAAGTGATAGTATTTTCATTCAAAAATTATTTGCTAAATTATGAGATATCACATC